ACACTTCCAAAGTGATCAATTTTTTTTCTTCAAAAATAAGATAAGAGCTTCTACTGGAGATTTTAAATGACTTATAAAGTTTTTAGTGAAATTTTTATAAATACAATTCTTAAATGTAGCAAATTTATTCCATGATAAACTATAGATTGGTCCAAATGGAGGTTGAGTTCTTTTTTAAAGATCAATTGAGCAATTATAAAGAAAATACTTTAAAAGAATATTTATAATATTTTTTTAAAAAAATCTTAATAATCTTAATATTGGCTTAAAATGCTACTTGAAATATTTGCACCATAAGACTTGAATGTGGCATGAATAACAAATAGTGAACTTTTTGTAGTATGTGTGAAAATTGTTATACCTACAAATAAAGATTTGATTGTAAAAAGCTTATATTTTTTTATTCAATATAAAAAATTCTTAGTTATTTCTTTCAATAAATTGAGTTTATAAAAAATTAAATCTATTTAAAGTTTAAATATTTATAACCATGATAAATCTGAAATAATTAGGTTTGAAAGGATATATAATAATATTGAATATTATTAAGTTGTTAGGACTATTTATTACTATATCTAAAAGAATAGTTGTATAAATAACATCTCCAAAAGATAAAAATGAACTATCTATGGCTTCTATATATATATATATATATATATATATGTTTAGTTTTTTTTTCTTTATGATATTCTATATCTTTTAATAAAATCTTTATCTAAAAAATAAGCTAATGCTTTTGAATCTACTAAAATAGAGACTTTATAATATTTAGGATTTAGACAAATATCTATTATAAATCAAAGAAAAGATTCTAAAAAAAATATGATCTTTTCTAGGTGTTATATAAGATTTCTATTGCAAAATTCTTATTATAATTGAATTTTTTTTTTTTAACATATTTCTTTTTAATAGATTTATTTTATATTTTTTATTGTATTACTTTTTTGGACAATATTGAGTAGTGTATTTTGGTTTTCTACAATATAAGCATGATCCTTCTTAACAATGTCTAATCTTTTCATGTATAGTAAGAGATTTAAAACTTATTGCATCAATTTGCATGTCTTCAACTTTTAAATATATGTATTGAAAAGATAAAAATGTTACTATTGAATTATAAAAATATTATAGACCACTTGTGTGGTTCTCAGATTGAAATTCAAAAAGTCACAGTTCATAAGAAGTCAATTGCCTAATATCTAAGGATTAAGTAAGTTGAGCATCAATTTTTTTACCTCATATTGTAATCTATAGAAAAATTGGTTGATGAGTGCAGTAATATTCTACTTAATATTGATTGGAAGTTGTCAAAATTGTGGAGCAAAAATAATATTCAAATAAACTTGATTTGTGATTTTAGAATTGGATAACTTAAAGATTGAAGCTCAATTGCTATTTGTACTTGATTGATAAATTTTTAAAATTTCAATCTTATGCAATTAAAATTTTTAAGCAAGCTTATTTTTGATTTTTTGATGCTTGAATAATATTCTATAATATAAGAAATAATTTTATTTGGTACAAATATGAAAGTAGCTCCAATCATCTTTATATCTTTACTTCAAGATGGTCTTATTGACCTTTGTGATAATAAATTTAATTGATATATTGAAAGCATAAATTCTCTCATTTATATTTGAATTTGTACTATTGCACTCTTCATTTCAATAAGTTTTTCCATAATGATATAATAGAAAAGAAGTTATTTAAATGTAAATTTCTAATATGATTATATCTTATCACAATAGAAAAGAATAATTAATTCTTAATCAAATAAAAAAATCTAATATTATAAGTATACTCTTGTCAATTCATTAAGGACAAAAAAATTAAAGAATGTGAATAAATAAGTAGAAATTTTATCAAAGAGAGATGGGAAAAAATTAATTTAAAAATTATAAAATAAATTTTTTATTGCTAAAGATTAAAAAATTAAAGATCCTTGAAATTAGACAAGGAGCAAGCATAGAATTTTTAAGAATAAGAAAGGCCTCACTCTTATTTCTATATATACTACCTAAGTAAGAGCTACATGATAATTTCTATAGGATCTTTGATATATGTCCAACTTGTACCACAAGTGGCCAACTTGTTGGCTAAATTTTTAATCTATTAATCACTTATAGATATATATGTAATGTTTAATCTGCATTTATAAAGATTTTTAGAAGTTTTTCTAAGAGATATTATATAATTTATTCACTTTTACTTATTTCTATTTAATTTCACTTATTTAGGTAATTATCATTGTTTATTATGTCTATAATATAAATATGGTATTAAAATTAGAATGGTTATTATAAAATGCAAAAAGATTAGAAAGTCTTGAATCAAGATAAAATACAAGAAAGACATTGATAAGAGTGACAAAGGCTTTATTCTTATTTATATATGTACTATCTATTAAAGAACTATGTAGCAATGTCTTATATTCTATATGACACTTGTCTAACTTTCAAAACATACTTCTAATTTGTAAGATGAGTTTTTGATATATATATATCATATGACCAACTTATAATACAAATGGCTAAATGTGCAACATGAAGCCAATTTTTTAGCTAAGTTGTCAACTTATCAATCTTTTAAAAATATATATAAAATCTACAAAGCTTCTACATAAGATATTAATAATTTAATCTACTTATTTCTACTTATTTCTATTTAATTCTACTTATGAAAGTAAATATACTAATAAATTTTTTATAATGAGATATTATTAATGATTATGAAGATCTATTAATCACTTTCATATAGAATATAAATTATAGTTTGTTCCAATTATCATATGAAAAATCTTAGACTTAATCCATTTATGAAGTAATTTGATTGCTTTTGGTGAAATTTGTCTTTTCAAAAAAAGGCTAATATAAAAAATATATATATTACTTAAATAAATAAATATAAATAAAAATAGATAGAAATATATTAGATAGATAACATTTTTTTAAGAAGTTTTAAGAAACGTTTTAGACATGTCATGTAATTATTTTAACTTTTCTTGTAAATTTTGTAGTTTTAAAAAATAGAATCAAAAGTAATCTATAACTTGGTATTGGAGCCACAAGCCTTATGGTCTTTAAAAAATTACTATACAATCTTTTTAATAACTACTATATATACAAGTTAGATATAGATCATCTTTAGTCTTATCAATATTTTTCTTGTATTTTAGTTTTGACTTAAGACTTTTTAGATTCTTTGTAATTAAGAATAATCACTCTAAATTCTTTTAATTTTATATTTATCTTTTATTTTATTACTCTCTATTTTAAAGACAAAAGAATATTATTAATTGGCTTGATTAATTAAATGTGATTTTTAAGAACCAATATAATAAAGAAATCCAAATCAATAGGCTCTAGACAATAGAAGGCAAGTCAAAAATACCAATTCATATTCTATTGGTCATCAACAACTTCTACTTTGTCAATACTCTAGATTTTATAATGCTTTTAAAGATAATAATTTGAAACACAATAGAAAAAAGTCTCAACATTAAGTTTTTTTAATGCTACAATATTAATCTAATTTAAAATAAGCTTTGAAAATTTTGACACCTAAACTAATTCAAATAATAATGGACCTTATTGCAAATTGAAGATATCTTATTTTTTGGCTTTTCTTATTATTCCATAAGCCAATACCTTTGATTCTTGGACAATATTTTATTGTAACTATGGTCCATCTCAAACAGCTTTATGAGAGATGCTAATTAATTATTTCTAATTGGTTTCAAAATCAAGAATATTCTAACTATAGTTTACAACCTTGTTCACTACTACATTAAATTTTGACTCTTAAGAAAAAATAAAACCAAATTGTCTTTACTTTATAGCAATGGATCTAAGATTAAATAACCAATGCAAATTGTCAACACTAAATAAAGAACCTAATTACCTAATTAATGGAAGTACAATGACACATTAAAAACCTTCAAAGACATAAAAAATTCATCACCTCCAACAACCTTAAAATCAAGTTGTTCATAACAAGGCTAACGTGTTACACAAATTAGTCATGGTCAATATAACTCAATTCAACACTTGTTTAAGCGACCTTGAAAATGCAATATGTATGCCCTCTCACCATCACAAAGAGTGCAAATCCAAACTCCTCTTGATCTAATATGCTTACCAAAGGTTGGCTTTGGAAGCCAGCAAACTCCAAGCACCACATCTTACAGGAAGCGCATATCAACTCTAAATAACAGTTTTTAATTAAAGTCCTAGCCACAAATTCCATTTCAGATTTCATCTGAAGTCCCGCTTCTAATTCAATCGATTATCTTGGTTTTTGGAATTCATTCAGTACGAGCTGCGGCTTTGCCGAGTTGTGACAGATGAGCGATGCACCATGAGGAATCCAGGTTTGCACGACGTTCGATTTCTGGTCATAATCAGTAAATCTGAATGATTGGTAGGTTGATATATTTAGCACTTATATATAAAAGAATTTCGTTACATGTAACTTCCTGGGCCATGGCTTTTGATACTGTGCAGAAATGTGTCGAGTGTGATGGAATTATCCAGAGAAATGTAGAAGTAGCTAAAAGTGTAATTGTCTTGCCGCGTACTCCTACCTAGTTTGGGAGCTTGTGATCTACCTCCTTTACATCAAAGCGGCTAAATTGAAAGCTTGTTTAAGATGATACACGCTAACTTTTGTTCCTGGTCGGTGCTCTGTTGGTGACCTACCCGGACATCCATGTAGCTGAAACTAGAAAAGCTTCGGCAAATAGTACTTCCGTCGAATTTTTATTGGAATTCATGTTACACGAAGCAGAGGGGAGCTGGATCAGCGATTCCCAAGGTAATTGCTTTGAAACAAATGAGGAAGCTTAGCAATAGATGCATCTCAGAGGGTGAACCGACTTTGATTCTTCGAGACTCTTCCTGTTCTTTCTGGAGAGTCCAACATCTACACTGAAAAGTCCCACGTCTCACCACTTACAAATCGTATAAATGTATCACTGAGATCATCCCAAATCATATCGATCACTTTCAAATCTTCCTGTTTTGCAGCTGCATCTCGAAGAACTGAGGCACATCTGAGCTCGCAGCTTCACCCTTGACTATTTTTTTTGATTGAGCTCACTGTTCTTGAATCATCAGTCGTTTACCGTCCAGTTAGATTCGACACACTAGAGGATGGTTCTCGTTTTGTCACAGTGGTTTGGGCGAGGTTGCGCCAAGTGTTCAACGTTAGGCTTGTACAGTCCAATGTTCCCCGATCTTGTTATTGTCAAAGTTCCTTTACATAGACAGTCTTGTGCGCCAGCGAGTAGCCCTGCCGTTCACAACACCCGTGCAGTGAGATGGGATGAAACAGCAGAGGCTCATGTCTTCAAGCTTCGCCTTCCAGGTATGTATGGAAAGTTATCTTGGTCCAGAACTTGATTTTCTGAACTACAATTATCTTCGATACAAGTTTGTCCATAATTTGCAGCCAATATTACCATTGTGTGCAGTATGCATGACTTACTTTACGTAATGTACAGGACTAAAGAAGGAGGACCTGAACGTTCAGATAGATGATCGGATTCTATACATCAGTTACAACAGTGAGCCCAAAATCGATAAAAAGGAGGATGAAGCGTTGTCCAGCTCCCAGAGTAAAGAGAAGAAATCTGGAAGCTGCAGCTTTAAGCGCAAGTTCAAGCTTCCAGAGAATGCAGACTTGGAGCAAATCAAAGCTGATGTAACCAATGAGACTTTAACAATCACTGTACCTAAGCTCGCGATGAAGTCACCAGAGATTTGCATAATCAATGTGAAAAGTAGTGATCCGGCAGCAACCCCACATGCCACCTCATCGACGACTCCATCAGATAAGTCCAAGGCTGCCAATGGATCCCAATGTCCCTCAACCTAGTGCACAACCTGACATCATCGCTCAGTTGTTGTTGTAAAAGTTCATCACTACTCAATGAGCTTAAATTACATATACGTTAGGAATAGATCACAGCATGGATACATACCAGACAGGGCTGATTCTATTGGTTGGGACCTTAAAGATTTCTAAGAACTAAGTTGCTAGGATCCACCAAGAATCAAGTGATTAAAGATTTTCAATAACCATCTCTTTCCTTTTCTTAGACTTTTGATTTAGCTTTGGAAGTAAACAATCATTTCAATGGATAGGTTTGATTTCAAATTTTTAAACCAAGACCAACCAATCTCTAACTATTACAATTCCATTAATAAAGATGATCATTTTAAGGACTTCAAACCTCCAAATACTTAACTTATAACATTTAATTTGATAATATCTTTTAGAGAAGCTTCTTAGAAGCTCTATATATGTAGATTTGTCTTTCAAAGTACATACAAGAGATAAATAAGATGAAGACTTAGCAAACACGTTGACTATGTATTGCACATGTTGATCACTTGCTTTATAAGATGGCCTCATGTTGCACATATTGATCACTTGTATAATTTGGCCATGTGGCACACATATTGGAAACTTATATTGCAAATTATATACATGTTCTATAAGTTGAGCACATGTTAGATGATCTGTAAAATGCCACCATATAGGTCTTTAATTAGATAGTATATATGGAGGTTAAATTTATAATATTTGTTATTGTTGTTGACTATCAAAAGATATTATATTAAAAATAAAGACATAATTTGTATCTAAATTTTAAAGAACTTTTTTTAAGATATTAAAGGTTGATATAAAAGCATCACTATCTTTCTATCTTAAAATTGATAGACAAATAAAGAAAATAATTCAAATGTTAGAATAGTATTTTTAACATACTATCAATTGCTATTAAGATAACTAGATAATTTTTTAAAAATTAGAAAAAATTCTTGTACTAACATGATATATTCTTCTATTGAAGAATCACCATTCTATGCTAATTATGCTTATTATCTATATATTATTTCATTTTATTTTTTTAAAATAGATTATTTTTTAGTAAAAGATTTTATAATTTTATAAAATCAATAAGAAAAAAATATCAATAAGAAAAAAATCAAGGCATTATTAAAGGAAGATCAATAAGAAAAAAATATCAATAAGAATATTATTGGTCTTTCTATAATAATGATTGATAATTATTTTAATTGATATTTTTATTATTAATTTCTATATAAAATAAATAAAACAATGAAAATATAAATAAAAATATCAAATTCTATTCTAAATTAATAAAAAAAATATGATTACTTTATTGTAATAAAACACTAATTAAATATTAAAAAAATTAGAATTTTATAGAATTGGACCATTTTTTATTTGTAAAAAGAATAATCCAAATGCATATCAATTACATCAAACAAAGTCAATAAATATTAATCTTATTTTTTATGTATTTCTTTTAAACCTATACAAGATAGTATATATTTTAAGAAGAAGAAAATTGCAACATCTACTAATAGAAATTTAAATTATTTAAAATATAAAAAAGAGGTTTTAGACTCAAGATATTGCTTCAATAGATTAAAATATCTTAAATATTGGCACAAATATGATATTAATACATGCACAAGATAATCATTAAAGAATCTTACATTATAAAATAAAAATATCATTGCTTTATATTAATAACATCCTTCAAAACCAACATAAAGAGTCCAAAGATCTTATCAAATAAAATAAAAAAAAGATTAATTTAGAATCCACTTTCTTGTAAATACTTGTACATAAATTAAAAAACAAAGAATATGCTATAGGTATCTATATTTATTTTTATATATTTTTAAATAATTATTAATAAATATAATTAAGTAGAAATAAATAAAAATAGATTTTATTAATAATATCTTTTTAAAAAGATTCTTAGAAGTTCTATAGAGGCAAATTTGACTTTAAAAGTGTTTTTAGGTGATTGGTAAGTTCAAAGCTTGATGAAAAAGTTGTATACATGTTGCCCATGTTGGCTATATGGTATACATATTAAAAACTTGTTCTATAAGATAAAATATATATTATATGGCCTATGTTGTCATATAACTTTTTAATTAGATAATATAAATAGAGGCAAGAGTGGACCTTCTTTACTCTTATCAATGCCTTTCTTGCTAGCAATCTAGTTTCAAGAACTTTTCATATTTAGCAATAGCCATTTTAGTTTTTTGTTGAATATATGTATTTTTTTAATATACATATTTTTTATTTATTTAAATTATTTGAATTTTTATCCTTAACATATCATCATTTTAATAAAATAAAATAAAATATATAATTTTTATTTATTTAAAAACTAATACTTCATAGAAGATTATAATGCCTATAATATTATCATTTTTAAATTCTTAATATTACTAATATATATATATATATATATATTATTTTTTATCAAATTTTTCAACTAATTATTTTATGTTTTCAACTTTATAAATCTAATAATAAAAGTCATTTATAAATAAATAGCTCTTTAATTTTAATTTTTAAAAAATTAAATGGATCTAATTTAGTTATTTTTTATAAATTTAATATTTTTAATTTTATATGAAAGTATTTTTTTAATATAATAATAAATTATTTTTAAATATAAAAAAAATATTGATTGAAAATAACAAATCTTAAATAAAAACATATATTTAAACTTTTAATAATCTTCTAGTATAGTCATTTAATAATACTAATAACAGATTATACATGTACCAATGGCCATGAATCATACATCCACAACCACCAAAAACCAATTATAAGAGGAAAATACAAGCAAGTGATCAAATTCTAAAGAGATTACATCTTGCAAAAATTCAATTAACATCAAAGCCAATCCATAATTATTATCCATTCAATAACAAACAAGAGTTGAAAAAAAATGTTTGATACGGGTGTTTGTTCTACCACATTCCATTTTCATCTCTTTCATACTTATATTGGCTTTTATTTTATTATATATATATATATATATATATATATATATATTCTTTTTTGAAAGCAACCATGTTTTGCTCCCTTCAATGGCACTTGCAATCTTTTTGCTAATCTATGCCAAATAAGGTTATCTTTGTTCTTCTTTTTTGGAGCTAAGTTTGTCCATAAATGCAGTAGTGCTTATA